TTACTGCAAGCGGTTAACTGACTTTTGGATAGGAGGAAAAATTCCTACCTTACAACTAGGATTTTTGCGGAACGGATAACTTCTGTCGATGGCAGAGTCAACCTACCACTGCAGGATGGTGTAACAAGCAAAGTAAACACTACGCATTTGCGACGTCTAAGAGCTATGTAAGAAGTGTTAGTGCACAATGATTTCACTGAAGAAGGGTGGCTTGAATATGGACGTGGAGGCACGTAACGTGACACAGAGAGCCTGTTTGTAACATAATGGAATCACAATCTTAACCCTTTTATTTGGTGTAGTGGTGAAGTGCGCTGCTCCCGGTAAGGACAACAGCGCGTGTTCGTTCCCCACTGCATACACCTGCGGTCCGGAGTTTTACAAATATCTCAGCATTTCATACAATGGAATCATGTTTTCAATATTGGTATAGGCAACAATCTCCATTTGTCAATAAATTTCTCATAAAGTTTTGTTGCCGAGTTGCTGTTGCACGCTCACTCCTATTTCGATTTGAATAGACTACAGGGAAGTTCCTCCTAATGGTTTACCGCCTCATCGTGATTGGGAGGTGTTCGTGGGTGTTGGGTTGCGATGCACAGCAGGAAGATTCATCTCACTAACAGAGTCTGGTAAGCTGAGAACGAGTCCGGCGTTTCCATCAGGTAGCAGAGCTAAGAATAAACCAGTACCAAGATCCACCACCGCCCTGGCATCAAACTAGGTGGCAAATCTTTCTCTGTTCCACATGGGCAGCGAACGCCTGTGGTGGTAACGACCTAAGTAGACTTTCGCCAGGCTGATATCGGGACTCAAGAGAACCACAATGGCTAAACCAGCAAAACCTAAGCCAAAAATTGAATTTATGCTGGGGCCCGCAGAATCAGACGTGCCATTCAAGTATTCAAGTAAGTACGGTGAGATTGGGGGCGAATAGAACAGTGATAGCGATGCCCATCATCACGAGCACGCTGCTGGTGCGATCCCGCCCCAGGTTCTCATCCCTCCAAAGTTGGGGAATTGGCGCCGGACTTGTATGGGTAAAATTACTCTCTGAAATCCAACTGGGAAAGCTGAAGCTCGACTATCTCAGGACTGAACTGGAAATCGACTCGATGAACATTTTACGATATTCAAGATGAAGTGAAAATTCTTATGCAGCAGCCTAATCCACATGTAAAAGTCGGGAGACCTTCGTAGATAATGGATGCAAGGAAACGTATCGAATGTGAGAAGTGTTGGAATCAGTAGAGTAGACCTGAAGGCGGATCGTACAAAATAAAAGTGAAATAAAAATAAAACAGCGAAGTTAAGTAAGTTTCACACTTCTGCATCATCATATGATGCTCAACGATTCCCCAGAGCGAGTAGAACCCATTGGGCTACTCCTGCACAAGACAGGGAAAAATGGAAGATTCACTGGCGCCCGCTTGAGTTACTCAATGATGTGCAGGTTATACAGGTGATACTATGTTCCATAATACAAGTACATTAATGACAGCATTTGGAAGTGTTTTCCAACTTATGTGTCTGTATTTCAGTACGTTTTATATCTGTACACTCTACCTGGTTACTACCACTCACTATAGCAATTAGAATTGAAATAATAGTCGATTAGCAAGCAAATTTCTGATCAGTCAACTCGTTCGGAAAACGGTTTTTTGTATATTTTGAGTGCAGCATATAGCTATTCCCATCAAACCATTTGTAACAAAAAGTTTACGAAAAGTTTTATTAGTTAAAACAAACAACCAGAAAGAAGCGAAACCTGCTGATGCCATACCAGGCACTTCCACAAAACCACTGTGACCCCTTCAGGTGCCACTCGACATGAGCGCATTAAAGAAAGGTTTTCGAATCAGTGTGGCCTGATACCGTAAAACAATCTTTGCGCATTCAAGGCGTTTCTACTTAATAACCTTTGTGCCCTATAGAACCATTTCACAACGAGAATGTTACTGTTATATAACGACATTAATATGGAAGGAAAGAGACGTTTGACAAGGCAACGGTGCCGTGCTGTAATTTATTTACAAGTTTTTTTTCTAATAGTGCTAAAACTAGCCGGATGGGACGAATGCTATCCGAAGTGTGCATTTTGGTTGAATCTCAGGAAGATTTTAATGATAAGCGGATTTGTTTATGTTTCTTCATTCATGGTCAACGGAATGACTATCTCCGAACATTTCATCAGTGCTCTTGGTTGAAATGTCAACGGCATAAACAACTCAGCTGCAAAGGAGAGCAAAGGGAAACGACTTGCTTGGGAAGTTTTCAATTGCACGAGTTCGGGTACGATGTGCTTAATCTCTGGTAGGGCGTGTGGAGATAAACACATTAGGTGAAAAGTAGATCACTCACTGCCCATATAAAACAGCACCTATGTGGTCAAAGGAAACCACTAGGCATACATAGGACACAGAGACATAGCATAGAGTATTTCGAAAGCAAATTCATTATTATGTTTAACGTTTTGTTTTCTGCCTTCTATAATTTTCATGGCAGGTTACTAAGCGAAATACAACCACAACGTTGGTGAGATATTTGGAAAACTCTGAACCGCAGGTGTCTATGGTGGGGAACGAACGCGCTATTGAACTTTCCGGGGAGTAACGCGTTCACCACCACACCATGCGGGTCCTTCGTTTCGCCTGTCTCTCAGCTATTTCAGCTATTCATGAAAAAATTCATTATTCCCTCATGATAATCCAAAACATCTGCCCACAAAACTTTTGAAGCATTTTGAACAAATTTCAAAATAAAAAAATGAACATGTAAAGTCTCGAGTTTAGTTCTACAACAATTCCGATCATGAAGCCTATTGCATTCGATCCTACAAAAGATTTCTTCAGAAATTGGTTGGCCTGGTGAGAAAATTGGATCGCATTATAACAGGAGCGTGCCCTCAAATAAAGTCACACCTCGTAGCATTGCAACTCTTGACTTTTCTGCCAAATTTTCGACCATGTTTTGATACTTGTTACTTTCCTAAACGGTGTTTCTTTGCCAATTGAAGATGATTTATAAGATTGGTTTAGTACTTAAAGAGAAAGATTTCGAAGTGGAAGCGATAATCCTAGCAACGCAATCGATGACATCTGCTCGTAAAACTCTTGAATTATCTAAGATAAATTCCAGAATTCAAAACTGAACCGAAAGAAGTGTGACTTGTGATCACGCGTACTCCGTGCCATAGCTCAGCCACTTTTTTTTGAGCCAGACACATTGCTCACCCTTGTAAGATGCTGTGTAGCTGGCCTCCATCAATTAAATAGAATTCTTGTAGAGAACAAAACGGTAAACACATCCAAGAGAAAGTTTCCCATGCTATTGAAATCCAGGATGCGGAATTCTCTGTTGGATCATGGAAGTGTTCCACTTAGTGCATCACGTGTCAATTTGATATTTTCAGGCTCTGAAAAGGTGAAACTGTCGAAAAGTCACCTATTGTGAATAAGCCGTGTGATAACAACCTCGTATAGAGTCATCGAGAAAACTGTGAATTACTGATCAGCACCGAGGCAAGTCGGTTCTGGGATTTGCATGAGCCACTATGAGCGCTACACATACTATACGATTTAAAACACTAAATAGGTTGCATGTTTCCTTACTTTGCTGCCATACGTGAATTTTACCAAGCCATTTGCATAAAGGTGAGCTGATTATTTATAACAAGCCTTCATTTGTTGATTGGAAGTGCAAGAGTGCGGCTCAGATAAGCACATCTCCTTGTTGGCGTTGGTGATTATAAAGTACGTTATGTGGAATTGCATCCGTTTTTTTGCACTAATTGCACATACTTGATACTTGATACTTGAACGGCCCATCCTCACTGGTTGTGCGAGCTCCAGCCTAACCACCATTTTCGTAGACCTGCTGGCTAAGCCATAGTGGGTCCTTGGAATCTCTAGGTCAGCCTAGCCAAAGTCTGCCCCAGGTCTTCACCACCATGGGCAGCCGCAGCCCTTATGGATTAGAGCGAGATTGGCCATCATGCGCCTTTGATACCAGGACGGTGGCGGGTCCTGGTATTGGTTTACTCTTAGCTAGGGTTCCTAATGGAAACGCCGGACTCCTCAACTTGGGAGGCTCTGCGGGGGACGAATCCTCCGCTGTACAACGCAGCCCGACACCCAGGAACACCTCCCAGCCACGATGAGACGGTAAACCGTTGGGAGGGATTGCACATAAGTATGTGGAATATAAAAACATGTTGAAGCTAGTAGACATGTCAAAGTCTTGCTTTCCAAAAATGATCTGCTTGACTACTGAACGGATCTTTACATGAACGGATCTTAGCAAATCAAGATAGATGTGAGCATAAGTTTAATTGGCGTAGAAACGTCAAGGTTTTAAGTCTTATTTGAATTTTTTCATTTTTGGGAAGAACACCAGCCAGCACACTAAACCACAAGCGCTGAGCAAGCCATTTGCAAACCATAAAGTGTCCAGACCTTTGGAAGTGAACAACGACCTGAATTTGGATATTATTTGATTTCATGAATTTGTTCAATTTCAAAGAAATTGTAGAATGAGTGAAAAATTGAAAATGAGAGTCGGAGGGATAAAGGAGAAGTACGGCTTGGCTGGTAAAAGAAGCAAAGCAGGCAACAACTAATAATCCAAGAAAACACGGCTTGAAGGCTGAAATTCATGACATTGCAGGTATTTATGGAGAAAATTTAGAGCATACATATTGTACATTCAAACGAACTATGATCGACTCACGCTGCGTAAAGTGGACCGAAAATAAGACTAATATCGTCGGCGACTACCAGTGCACCTTGCATTATGTTCTGAAATCAACTCTATGTATTCAACGAAATCGTTTCCGTTGGGAAGTGTGTGGCACAGTAGCTAGAGAGGACTCTTCAATACACATGATCGATTGGTTCGATGTCACAGTTTCGTCATACCAGACGTTCCGCGGTTGGCAATTTGGTGTACATTTTCGAGAAGAATAAAAACATCGACTAGATGCGTCGACAGGCCCTCGCAAGTCATTGCTTCGCAGAAGTGTCTACCACTCGATTGTGAATCATTTCATTTCTGAGAATATTCCCTTTTTTCAAAAAAGATGCGCATTGGTAGCGATTTAGAATTTTCGGACTTGATAGTGAAGAGCGGAAACAAATAAGTTCTGAAAATCTCCTTTTTTTACTACAAACCTGGTCAATTTTTCCAAGAACTTTCGAGTAGGTAGTGTCTAGAGAAATCGCAGCCATGCTCACTCCGACTCCCAACATTAGGCAGACTGGTATTAGCAGCACAATCGGCAATGTCCCATAAGCGGTGCCACACCATGTAAACTGTCGAGTATCGCAACCGGTCCCCAAGGTTTCTGAACCCGAGATAAATAATGGATAGTTAGAATGGGCATGGATAGAATAAAATAAGCTAAAGAACACGAATTGGCTAGAGTACTGTTTAGGAAATAATAGAAAAACAGCTCGGGACTCAGTTGAAGGTAAAGGGATCACGTTCATGGGGTTGAGAGATCTAGCCGGACTTGCATGGCAAGTCTTATGCACTTCTTTTTTCTAATATTTTTTAATACAGCACTCCTCATTCCTCAAAACGCTGTTATATTTCATACAGAAGACTCACTTGTTGTTCTAGCAATACATAAGGGAACCAGTATAACGAATTCGGTTTATTGGCAATCTAGGTGAGTGTAAGCGAACGTATTTGACAGTTTCAAAAGGTTTCAACTCTATTGTGGGTACAGTAGTACATAAAAGCGTCATTTCTCTTTAGCCAATAGTGAAATAGCGTTTTAGGTGTTTTCGAACACCACAATTCCCGTTATTCACGATTTCGAAAACAGACGCCTGCTAGCAATTCCAGGGAACTTCAGTTCTATTCTGTGATCGGAGTATACAGTGACGTAGGTAATGAAGAAATTGGAGTGCTGGCGTAGATAAAACAACATCTAGATGCTTCTCCCAATATCAGGTCTTTCTTCTTTCTGTGAATGAAGGACATGAAGGCGCTTGGTCGCTGCCGGTGCGAATACAAATAAGAATTCCAACTTTTTCTAAGCATTTAAAACTCTAATGGACAAAATAAACGAAAAAAGTTGAATGAAAATCGCCATGTCAGCGCTTGCGGGCTGGAAGGGACCATGAATATTAAAAGATCTTCTCCCATCATCCATCTAACCTTGTAGATGACAGTAGCAGAACGGGTAGTTGCTTGCTGGATGGAGAGTCAATATCACAGTAGGGTTGACTTTGTAGTAAATCACAGGTTATGTCCAAGAAGTTATTAGTGGATTTCACGCACCCTTTCCCACTTTGGGAGTTTCTTTCCTAAAAAGCGATTGAATCGAGGCAGGTAGATATTATTCTTGTACGTCTTAGCGCAGCTTCAGAAATACATCAACATCAGCAACTTCAATGGAACCGTTTTATTTTGATAAATAAGACAATTTTGTGAAAATTGATACGAGATGCAAGAGCACATCAAAAAAAGTTGAAGTAATCAATCACTTGGAATTTCGCAAGAAAAAGAAGAGTGATATCAGAGGAACGTAAAAGCAGTGCAGACTCAAGAAGCATGGCTCGATCAAGTTGCGAAGTACGGAACAATTACTAAGGCACCTTAAAGTTATAGAAGTACCTTAAACTCTTCTAAAAAAGGTAACTGACTTGGCTGTGGGAATTCCGCTTTCTATACTGCACATCCCTACCCACCAGTGACTATGAAAAATAATGGACAGGTCCGAATTCGAGCTGATAAGTAGCCCTAGATCATACGTCAACTAATCTTTGACGTAATTTTGAGGGAGGAATTTTAGTTACAAAGAGCGAGTTTTGGGAACATCCTGTCACTGTTATATTGGGATTCCAGTAAAACCATGAGTAACTAGGATTCAACTTGTAAACGAACTAAGGAAGCGACGGGTGCTTAAACAGTCCCTAATAGTCTATAAATAATTCTGGCATGTTTTCATCAAAAAAGAAGCTGTACAAAGGGCAGCTTGCTCCAATCAACATTCTGCAAGGAATTTAGAATATCAATCATAGCTAAATCACCAGTAAACCCAGCTGAGCTTTGTGAATTTGCAAGATGATTCCTCAGGTCACTTTCATTGCTAGGGACAACTTCTTATATCATCTTGCGACTTATCAGCTTAGTGAAAAGGTGGTGGATATGTAAGCTATTCTAATATTGTTAATAATTCACTCCAAAGGATCGCCGGGATTCTTCATCCTGCCTATCCACTAGGTTTCTAACGAGTAAATTAAAGCAAGGAGTGCCGTGGAGCTGACGATTTGGGCATCGGGTGTTCTTCGTTCTGCTTACTACATCCTCGATGCTCTTGAAAAGTCTCCAAAACGTTCGCTTCCTAGTACTCAACTCTGGTGCTAAGTCGTTCATTATATTGATTTCCCTATCTATTCAGATAGACGTAGCTAGAGTATTAAGAGATATTCATTCTGTTGAGCGTGAGTGGAGGACCAATCCGTTTCTCGCGAACATCGTTTTTCGATATCTAATGGTAAAGCAATTTTTGGGTTTCGACGTCGGTAAACATTCGATCGATTCGTTGATTTTCCATCACCGACCATCGATTTCCACTTCGATACTATCCCACTGCAATGCTCGCATGGTATTCTCGAGTGTTGATATAAATAATTTGTACGAGATAGGTTGGGCAGGTCGAATCGAACAAATGATAGTGTTCGCCACAGAATGATGACTGGTCGTGAAATTGTTATATAGCTCACGAAGGATCACTGTATACTAGGTAGCAACGCACTACTAGTTCTTCAAATCTTCCATAACGCCTTCTGTCCTAAATTAGTTAAGGGGTTTTTTCCAGGTCACGGAAAGTGGAATAAATCATCATTTTAGACACGGTCTTTCTGGCCTTCGATTGAGAAGGAATCAGCATTCTGACAGGTAACATGTGAGAAGCTGAGCGAGTGTGTTTATGAGGACTGACGTAAGGTTCTCTAGGTGCTCAGGTCTCATCCTATAAGGACTACGTCTTGCTAGATTCTTCACTAACGAAATAAAATGTCGAGTTTCTAAAGTGAGAACTGGGGAAGACACATCCACCCTAGTTTGTTTCATATGAGAGCAGAGGGATGTGGCTATTGAAGAAACCCGAGTTGCAATCGTGAATGATTTTCTCCGTGCCTTTTTGAAAGCTGCAACTGTTCCTTCCGGGCGTCGGAGTGCAATCATCTCGGTCTTGTATTTGACGAAGGTTCGGGTAGGGTTTTGCGAAGGCTTTTTCCAACCTTTGCAGCTTCGACCATAACTGCTGCTCATCATTTCTTAACATCTTCTTTTGTCGTTTTTTTTGCAACGTTTTGCCAGTTGGCAAGGTTCCCCTCTTAGCCAAAGATAGATACCACCACGAATGATCATGGCTGACATGATAAATTCGGGTAGACACTCTACTTGTTCCATTCTAAGCCGTAGGCCTCAATATGGCGTTTTTTCAGAAGTCCTTCTAGTTTCAATCATAGGTTTAAATTCTGACCTCAAAATTCAATGACGACCTCAAAAGAATGTACATTCTTCCCTGTAGAACCTCTACAACCCATGTAGAACGCATCAACTTCGTTTTTATCATATCCTGATATCGTTGCGTAGACAACGAAGATTATGGTAAAAAATTAGTCAAGAAAAAGGCAGAACGGGGGTCTCAGTGGTGCGATGGGTAGAATGTGAGCCCTCGGAAAGGATAATCACGAGTTCGATCTGGCCTGTGGTCCAAACTTTGCATCTCAACGTCATTGTGGTTGCATCTCACATTATACCCTGCCATGAGAAGTAAAATACAGTAAATAAAAAGTTAAACATTTTGATTCCACTCACTGTTATACGGTTGCATTTTGTGACCCAGGGATTCATATGGGTATGTCAGCACATACATGGCCACTGCCAAAGAGACAGCAATCAGAAATGTGCACCTCGGAGAGATTCTGAAACGTTTCAATTCTAAAATGTATTCGAAGAAATCGGGCAACATTTTTCCGACGCCTAAAAAATTACTGACTCTTCGAATTCTTTAGGATCAACTTTTGGTTAAACTGAAATTGTTTGGCATACGACTTATCACGACACAAACGAATCGAAAAATACGGAGCATCGTTGTCATGAAATCTCTTAAATCCAAGTATGTTCCAAAAACAATGGTTTTCTCAGATTTTCTGAGATTTCCTAGCTAAGCATAGCATTCAATAATGTGTTCATACGTGTTTCCTAATCGGAAAACAATGAACGCCACAGAGACGATGATAGCAAGTATTCCGATCACAACCATGCCCATTGAAATAACATGTACCGTCTTTTGGCCATCCCATCCGTATGCGGTCATCACAAATGGAGAAAAAACACTGAATTAAAAATGGTCTTCTAACCTGCGAAAAAAATCCATTTTAAACAAGAAACTCCAAACTCACGTATGCAGTGTTACTATGGTAAGACTGATTAACATTCTTTCCAACCAGCACAATATGATCAGAGGCCATTTGAGATTCGTCGACAGCATACGTTTGATCCAAGCCTTAACGTTCTCCGTATTGAACAAATCTCCCATTTCTAAACAAAACAACTCTGGTTTCTTAGACTGGTGAACCACATTTTGAGCTATTATGACAATTTTTTAATAAATAAACACATTAATCCTCAAAAGTAGAAACACTAGTTAACTACACAAGCTTAACGATGTGAAGCCAACAAAGGTTTCATCATTAATATTCTCCTGACTTATTAAGCTAGCAGAATGTTAGCAAGAAAAGATTTCTTTGGCTAACGTTTCGACGTCTTCGTGTTCTTCACAGGCTCACTGATCCGAGGCAATGGTCTAAGGGTGGTCGTCTTGGTGAAGTGGGGGTTCGCATCGAGTTGAATCCAATAAAGCTGAGCTCCGATCTCTGAAGAACCTCTTTCGTCGGCGGCACCCTTCTACAGCGTGCGGGTGTTAACCTATTGACGCCATCCCATATGGTCGGCTTTTTTGGCGGCAGTGCAGAAGTCGGTATTGTATCAGCTAGCACATTGCAAACCATTTTTTTTAACCTACAGCGGTTTTCCCTCGGTATCAATAATCAATTTCTTCTTGGATTTGACGTCACCGTATCTATTCTCTATTTCGACATCTTGCTTTTAATTTATTTTTTGATTAACCACCCAAGGGCACGTGTGCGTTGGTCGGGGGTGCCCAGCTATACACACAGGATCGATCCCCGATGCCCAGGTCCACCAAGCCCGCCATCCCTCCGCGGTTAGCAAATTGGTACCAAGCTTGTCTCGGAGGATAGTCCCACCGATTGTATACCATCGTCAGTAGCCATCGCGATTCATTGTAAAGACCAAATAGCATTCGAACACCACCAACGATGCTCGTTGAGGTCGAATATATGATGCATCCCTCAGCGACTGATCAACGCGGTGAGATTTATCCTTTATCCTTTAACATTCCAACGGCGAATGGTGTTTCTTAGTATGAAACCGATGGAACCGAACTAAAGTGTATAATGGAGGTTTCTCTGCCACTACGACTACTTAAGATAACGATTCACAAAAACTATGAGCAGGTGTGATGAAGACTTCTCAATTATCGGACGTGGCTATTTCGTAAATCCAACGCAGAAACTTTCCCCAAATTTACACAACGTTTATAGCTAGAAGTAAAAGCTACTATTTCCTTAAAACGTCTGAATATGTTTACTACGTGAACATGATCATCTGGATATGGTTTAGGAACTATTTCATGGGACTGTTTTCCATGTTGACAAATTTAAATCTCAATAATTCTAATTACCTATTTTCGCCTCCACTATTCGTACCTAAAGGATTGTTTAGACGGATTTTAGCTTTTCCATCTAGATGTTCTTTTATGCGGACACAAAATGGTCTACCCGTTTCCCCAATATATTCCTCGCCGCATGCGTTACATGAGATCGAGTATATTATACCTAAACTCATGCAATCTCCGTCTCTCCCGTTAGGACAGATCATACAGTTTTCTGAGCTGCACAAACGATCATAGAGACGGTTTCGAACTAACTGGCGGCGTAGGGTATTGGGTGGGATGTCAATAATCGTTACATAATTTTCAAGACCACTTTTTCTTAAGCACTTTTTAATGGCGTGACTTACTTCATTTGATATAAAGGGCAGCTTAAAGGGGATCTTACTTTCGTCTGAAATATTATTTTGGGAAACTACCCAATGTTTTCCTCTAACCCGAGTGGCTCCTACTTCGTAGCCATTGGAAATGGCAATTTTTCCTGCCAGGTTTCGCGATTCCTTCCTTTTTTTTCGATGTGAGCGATATTGACCCTACATTTCGGTTATTTTCGGACGAAATTCTCCGCATACTTAATCACTACCAAAAACGAAAAAGAACCTCCAACCTCACAAACCAACAAAAATGTGGTATGCGCCAGGTTAGAGAGCTTTTGAATTCAAAATCTATTAGACTTTCTATTAGTGATAAAGGCGGAGAATTTGTAGTTCTTCCTAGTCAGTTGGATATTAGGATAACAGAGAAGCACCTCAGTGATGTTTCTCTCTATCGAACATCCTCTGAAAAGGAATACAGAAATCAATACCGAAAATTGAATCAAGAATGGGTCAGCATGGCAAAGGCCGCGGGTTTAGAGCCTTCAGTTATTTCTCGACTTAAGAACGAACACCCGATTTGCCCTGTCCTTTACCTGCTTATTAAAATACATAAGCTTACTTCAACTGATGATATTACATCAACGAACCCATCATTATATAAAGTTAGACCTATCATCAGTTGTATAGGCCGGCCTACGGATAGAATAACGTGGTTCCTAAACCTTATCCTAACCCAGCTGCTAAAATTCATTCCAACCCATCTACCTAACACCAAAATATTTCTAGATCACCTAAGGCGCGCGGAACCAAACAACACGCATATAATGGAGTCATTCGATGTTAGTTCACTTTATACCAACGTGTCCAATGACTCCGCAATGCAAGCCATTCTCGAGTTGCTCGTAGAGCATGAAAAGAAAATAAAAATGCACGGTTTGTCGATTGCACAACTAATGACCCTCTTAAAACAGTGTCTTAGTTGTTCAATCTTTAGGTGGTCTGGAAAATATTTTGCACAAATTAGAGGGTTGGCGATGGGGCGGCGTTTAGCACCAAGCCTTGCCATCGCTTTCATGTCTAAGGTGGAAGCTCCAGTTCTCGATCACCGACCCTTACTCTACTGTCGATACATAGAAGACTGCTTCATCGTCTGTTCCACACAAGAACAGTTGGATGAGTGCTCTTTGAAACCGACAGTTAGAATATATAAAATTTACACGAGAAAAACCTACCGAGAACTGGCTTCCATTCTTAAACATCCAAATAAAGCTCTCAGTAAGTGGCTATGTAACAAAATGGTATCGCAAGCCAAGTAGTAAAAACATTCTAGTTCGCTGCCTCTCCTCTCATCATTCACTCATAGGAAAGCACTTATCAAAAATATGTATCGTACGGCTAAAAATGTGTGTACAGGAAAAGAGGAAAGGAAGGAATCGCGAAACCTGGCACGAAAAATTGCCATTTCCAATGGCTACGAAGTAGAAGCCACTCGGGTTAGAGGAAAACATTGGGTAGTTTCCCAAAATAATATTTCAGACAAAAGTAAGATCCCCTTTAAGCTGCCCTTTATATCAAATGAAGTAAGTCACGCCATTAAAAAGTGCTTAAGAAAAAGTGGTCTTGAAAATTATGTAACGATTGTTGACATCCCATCCAATACCCTACGCCGCCAGTTAGTTCGAAACCGTCTCTGTGATCGTTTGTGCAGCTCAGAAAACTGTATGATCTGTCCTAACGGGAGGGACGGGGATTGCATGAGTTTAGGTATAATATACTTGATCTCATGTAATGCATGCGGCGAGGAATATATCGGGGAAACGGGTAGACCACTCTGTGTCCGCATAAAAGAACATCTAGATGGGAAAGCCAAAATCCGTTTAAACACCCCTCTAGGTACGCATAGGGCACAAATGCACAACGGCGATGATTTTGAAGTGAATGTGCGGATCCTAGCGCAGGAATCAAAAACATCAAAGCGCAAAACTCTTGGGGCGTTTTGGATAAATTTCAAAAATCCAAAGATGAACCGGAGGGACGAATGCCTCACTATCACGCGTGACTTGGGGTCCTATTTCAAAATGATATTTTGACCCCGGGGCGTGTCTTGCTCGCGTGAACTACGTGTCGGCCAGTCCCGCACGTAACATCATGGTGAGTGACCTTTCTGTTCAATATGGCGTCTATTTGAAAGTTTGATCTTCATTAATACTTTAGCCTTCCTTTCCACCGAATAATAAAAAGTATTCTAACATAAAGTACGTCCAGGCTCTGGGGAAGGCGAAGTCGCCGAGACGTCAGCCATCGTTCAATAACATCAAAAACAACGACAACGACAACGACAACGAAGATCTGTACCAACCTCGCGTCAGCTTAAGAAGATCGGTTTATAAGATCACATAAATAAATATATCAGACTAAAAAAAGACCAAACAGCATAAGAATATCGGCAAATTAAATAAAGACTTTACTAAGAGACCATTGGTAGTTTTCATCGAATTGACGTCCTTCAGCATATAGTGGATAATGGCGACTGAGACAAAGTTTGTGAACGTGGCGATCCAAATCGGTGCCGAATAGATGTGGAACTTCAGAAATCCCTCGACGACCACAAAACCCGGATATCGTATGAAAGAGAAGATAAGTTGGCAGACTGCAAAAGAGAAAATGAAATCATAATGGATATAAACAAAAACACATTCGCGATTGGCTTGAGTTGAATGCCTCAGACTGCGAACACACTGGAAGTTTCATAAATAGAGCATGGTAGGATTTTCCTTATAATCGCTACTAGTGCTATTTCTAATTAATCGTAAGATTACTTTAGTATCGATAGACTTCTTGAGTGACGGCGACAGCTTTTCTGGTGTTGTATCAAATGAGTTGAGAAATCGTCCATTGTGACAATCGAAAATATTGCAGAGTATCTTAACCGTTTTATTTACTGCCTACTCTTTTTAATGGCAAGGTATATTGCGAAATATAACTTCAATGATGCTGAGATATTTGCAAAACTCCGGACCGCAGATGTCTATAGTGGGGAACGAACGCGCTATTGTCCTTTCCTGGGACTAATGAGCTCACCGCCACTATATGCGAGTCCTTCTTTTCGCCTGTCTCTCAGCCGTGTTATCGACCTATAGGCGCTTTCAGCAATCACCCGTCAATGAGAATGATCCTCAACTGCGTTCATACCTATTTGTGCTCATCAAATCAAACCCGTTGAGAGGTGACTGCTAATAGCGCCTATAGGTCAACAACACGACTGGGAGACAGGAGAAAGGAAGGACTCACATGGTGTGCTGGTGCGCGCGTTAGCCCCCGGAAAGGGTAGTAGCGTGATAGGTAGGGATATTTGCAAAACTCCCCACCGCAGACACCAGCAGTGCGGAGTTTTGCAAATATCTCAGCAACGTTATGGTTGTATGTCACATAATACCTTACTATTAAAAACTATTAGGCAGTAAATAAAAATTGGCGTCATTTCTATCTATATACAGGAGGACAATAGTATGACCTATCTATCCTTACAGATTTGTGCAAATTTCTTTATGTATACTTTGTTAAAAATATTTATGAGTAGGTGTTGTCATTTCTTTCACTTCTTGTTGGTGTTCAGAATATCAAAATTGAAATGATTTTCTGTAAGATTATCGCTTACTTGGTCCTACAAGAATAGATAGCATATTCGCAACGACGAACGCCGAGAAGGCCTTTGTGCGGTCATGTTCTGTACTGACGGCAGCGAAGTAGGAACGAAGTATCGTTGACGAACCTATTATAGTTAAGAAAGGAACCGTCCCCTGAGCATCGACAGTACTAAAAATCACCCCGAACTCTGCAGCGACCCGAATCCTACTAAGACAAGCGCAATTTCATCTATCGTTTTCAAAAGATTTTTTCACTAATTTTGTGGAGATGAAACCGTGACACACCGTATTCGCAATGGTCATCATAGGAGCCGTGGATCATTGAAGCGCATGTGATTTCCTTGATGTGTTACAACTCGCCTTGAACAATTTTGCCTATATCCGTAAATTTCCAGATGGGTAATTTCTATGGCAATCTATTCACAAGCCTTGCCAAATGAACTAGGTGCCAGACTGCGATGTGTAGCTTCAAGAGGCGCAGCTGAAGGCAAGCGTATGCAACTGCACAGCACAAGTCATGTGGAAATAGAACCACCCATCACTGAAAATCTATACGAACCTAAGTCTTCTTGCAACGCAGCGTTTTTTTTATTTTTCCTCGTCATCTGAAATAAATCTGCCTTGTTGCAACGGAGAATAAAAATGGACATTATCTCAATGGTATGTGAATGTCCTATTTCTTAACGACGCTAGCAGAGCCTTCTAAGCAACTCCGAACCTCTAGATAAATATCTCAAGTGGTTTAAGCTTTACATTCATAGCTTTATAAAGTCTCCTGCTAAATCAGTATCTGTAGTCTGTTGCATTGCGGCAGAGATACCAAATCAATTCTATCAAAACGGATAAATTAGTGAGACTCACTGGTCGCAATACCGAGAAGGAAGTAACAGAACATCATAAGATATCGTCTCCCTACGGGTAAAAGCTCAACGGAGAGGTAGAGACAACAGGAGAAGAATGCTATCAGTCGGCCCACAATCAGTGGCATCCTGAAAACCATGACGAGAGTAGACCAGGATAAAAGTATGAACTTCTGAGCTAGAAAATTTTTAAAACATCACATATCGTAAAATGGTGGATCTCGCACATCGGTCTATACTCTTCCTGCGTCAGAAAAGTGCTATCAGAGTTGGATGGAAGGATAGAAACACTGAATACTTCCATCATAGGATCCTAATGTTACTATATAAACGAAATACGAATTCAGTCACATCTACGAACTTCACTGGACTCAAGTAAACGCCCCACATTTCCAAGAGCGCCATTCAACGCCAAGTGTTTAATGATATTTCTTCATCGAAAATTGTTAATGCAAGCATGGGTGAAGTTTTTCCAAACAAATCACTCTAGTGACAATAAAAGACATTACATTAAAAAACGCACACAAGGAAAGAGAAAGTATAATATTCGTTATATCCCTTCCTTTCCATTCTTTCATTCCTTTCATCAAGGCTATGAATTGAATGTTAATATTTATAGTAAATGAGATCATTCCGTGTGTTTTATCTGTGATATAACCCTAACATCACTTCTACGATTAAAAAATGTGGATCAATACCGGCTTTGACAATCTGCAGCGTCTACGCGCCTACATCAAACTATGGCGAAGAAGAAGTTGAAGCGTTCTCTATGGATTGGAGAAGTTCTACAGAGAAGACCATACATTCTTCAAGATCATCATTGGAAAATTTAAACCTATGATTGAAACCAGAAGGATTTCTGAAGAACGCCACATTGTGACCTACGGATTGGAATGGAACGAGCAGGGTGAGTGGCTATCTGAGTTATTCGTGGCGACCAAGACAATCCATGGTACTCGAAATTCCAGAAGCCCCACCCTCAACGCTGGACGTGGGAGTCTCCCAGTGGAGAGTACCATAACGAAATAGACCATATCATAGTGAACCGAAGGCTTTGCCTAACTGATGTCGCTGTTGCCTCAAAATTCTACACGGCATCAGACCACCGTCTCCTTCGTGCAAGATTCTATTTCACACGGAAAGGAGAAAAAGCCTCTAAATTCAGGAGCCGAAGTCCGAAAGCCACTATAATCTGGGACTTATACTATAAACTGGGACTTATTCAACTGATTAGTCAGCTGTTGGAAAGATGCCGTTGTCGATAACATCGACGAGGAATACGATCGGCTCATTCAACACCCTCGCGCTAGCACTATGAAAGCTGAGAGTTCGAAAGTCAGCAAGAAACGTCTGCCTCCAGAAACTCTCAATCTGATACGCCAACGTGGAATCGTACAAGCTGCAGGCAGCCGCGAACTAACGTCCGGACTTGCAAAACAATGCAGACAGGCGATAAAAAAAAATTTAAAGAGAGAAGAGCAGCAGTAATAGTCGAAAATGCATCGACTGGGAAAACATTGCAGAGCCCACCGAACTTCGCCAATTACAGGACCAAGATTATTGCATTCCGACGTCTAGACAGAACAGTTACAGTGTCCAGAAAGGACCACCGCGTTCTCCCTTCCGAAACCCAATGCACCATTTCGGTAAAAAATCGAGCAGCATCAAGTCTGGACTTTCCAGAGAACCTTCCACTAGCCCTGGTAAACACACTGGCTCGGCTCTTCACATGTTGCCTGTCTGAATGCTAGGTCCCTACTCAGTCGAAGACCAGCAAGACCGTGTTATTGTTCAAGAAGGGTGACCTACACGATATGGGCAACTATCGCCCAATCTGCTTCCTGTATGTCGTGTAGAAAGTTTTTACTTGAGTCATCCTTAACAGGATTGACAGAACACTGGACGAAGAGCTGTCATGTGAGCAAGCAATGTTCGGAAAGAATTTAGTGCGATATACCACATTCACACGATAACAAGGCTCATTGAAGTATCGCGAGAGTACAAAGGACCGCTCTGTTTCACTTTCATCGATTTACTGAAGGCTTTTGATTCAAATGAGATAGAAGCAGTCATGGAAGCCCTTGATAGTCAAGGAGTTCCTACTCAGTACACAAAGATTCTTCGTGAGCTGTGTAAAAATTTCACAACCAAGGTACCACCATTCTACAACGATATTAACATTGACGTCAAAAGGGGAGTTAGGGAAAGCGATACTATCTCGCAAAAATTATTTACCGCCACCTTCGAGAACGTCACGCGGGCATTGGAATGGGATAATATGGGGTGAAAATCGATGGTCGGCAGTTACACCGTCTTCGTTTTGCTGATGACATCGTCCTTATAACACCAAACATTAGCCAAGCGGAACGTATGCTTGCCGACTGTGATAAAACCTGTGAAAAGATTGGTCTTCTGCTAAATCTCACAAAAACGATGTTCATGATGAACGGACTGGTTTCGCATGTCCCATTCACGCTCAGCGGAACGAATATCTCTGAATGCTCCAGTTATATCTATCTAGGTCGGGAAATCAACATGATGAACGACTTAGCTCCAGAGCTGAGCAGAAGGAAACGAGCGGCTTGAAGAGCTTTCAAGAACATTGAGGATGTAGTGAGCAGAGCAAAGAACACTTGACTTTTTGCCCACCTTTTCGACTTAACGGTACTTCCTGCGTTAAGGTATGCGTCAAGAACCTGGCCGCTCCGTAAACAGGATGAAAAATCACTCAGCATTATCGAACGCGCAGTCGAAAGAACGATTCTAGGAGTATCCTGTTTCAAACAAGTAAGGTATGGCATTTGAAGCTCCAGTCTGCTTCAACGACTAGAAATCAAAGATGCTGTTCTGTACGCCAAACAGTCGAAGATAAGGTGGGCCGGACAATTAATGCGTATGAATGACAACCGATGGACAACAGCCGTTTAGTAACTGGATTCCTCGGAATGTTAAACGCAGTGCAGGAAGACCACCGTTGCTCTGCGAGTCGCTTGAGCGAGCAAAACCCACTAGGCTACTCTTGTACGCGACAGGAAAAAGTGGAAGATTTACTGGTGCCCGCTCGAGTCACTCGATGATTAACGGGAGTACAGGTAATACAGATGATAACCCGAATTCGGCGGTTCTCTATCGTCAGAATATTCCCTGTCTATGCTCTCATGAGAGTCTTCACTAAGCGTAACAGAGCGGACTGAATGACCACAAAACCGAATATTTTGCAAATATTGTTCATAGCGGTAACTTATTTTAAACAAAATAATTAATCTTAACTATGAATGACTAAATTATATCTTTCATGGATATTTCATTATAAAGCGCAGGATGCGAATGCAAAATTAAACTGGATAGTTCTCCAGTTACAGAGACCACCACGAACTTGTATATTGAATGTTTAGTGAACAAAGAGATCAACATGAACTTTGAATTAAATAGAGGAAGAAACGCAGCTTGGGTGGTACTCCTACCTCTCACTGTGGCCACCAATCAACTAAAGGACTCGAAAATCTGCGTTCACATTTGCGAGTTAACAGTCTTCCCAGAGCTCTGTAATGCAGCATAGGTGTGGGCATGCTTCAACCATGTTAGAATTACTATACACTATTCACACAGCGCTTGAACGATGCCTTCTGATATATCGGGAACGTAACCGCCACACACAATATATTACAAGGACGTGAAGCTCTGTTCTTTGAAATATAAATCATTTTCGAGATTCAGGAGAATACACGTCGATAGCGAGATATATACGGATCGCTCGTATAGTGAGAAGAACAGACGACTGAGAGATGAAAGGAACTGTAGAGTGGATACCACGAGGATGCAACTGCCCTCTAGGACGGCCGCCCATACGTTGGGCAGGTGTGTTTTTTAACCAATGTCATTCAGCTGTAGTCGAAGCTGTAGTTGTTTTATAGATCATGATATCAGACTGGCAGCCGCCACTACGCTCAAATTAAATCGAGGTCCGCACAACTCGTGAAGACACGTCGTCCAAGCATCAAAGCAAATAATTTTAATCATTTGATGATAGCAGTCGCTGGGTAGTGAAATTTAAACCAAGGGCAGTATATTCATATCAAAAAATATTTTCCGATTCCTTACTAGACCGTAAATATCGAGTGTATATGCCACTATCAATTTCAACCATTTCCAAATGAAGTCAATAAAGTGTTTTTGGGCCAATTGCTGTGTCTTCACATTTTCAGAAGAAAATAGAGAACTGACAGTACAGTTATTATTACTAGCGTCAGACATGTAAGAGAATACTTATAAAAATATTCGTCAAAAACATCTGCGTTTCTCTGCCTACCACACTCACTTCGTGTTTTGGATCTTGTAGGTCCATAAAGCGAACACGGCGGCGAAAATGGCATGTCCAAATTTCGACGCGGAAGATGCGAAACCAAAGAACTGCGAAGTGGCTTCGGGGTCGATCTGAACAACAATCAAACCTTTTTGGATAAATCCATTAAAGGAATGGTGAACTATTGACAAATCCAGAAGTTTTAGGCACCTCAACTTTTAGTATGCCTAGAGTCAACTATCCACTATAATGATTGCTCCATGGTCAGGCAGAACATTTCAGGTCGCATCTGGGGAAACGAGAACATCGAAAACGTATCAGAATAACCTAGTGTTTGACTTTTATTTATTGCCCGCTATTTTTTTATGGTAGTGTTATGTGAAATACTAGCGCAATGATGGTGAGACAAGAGCGAAATTCGGAGCTCCAGTGAGCTTCGAATTCGCGGTAGCCCTTTCCGGGCGTTTACGTGCTATCCACTGCACTACCGAGGTTCCAGTTTTGCTTTGCTCTCAGCCATTTTTTTACCCCAACGGTGCTATCACCAATCACCCGACAAGGGGAATGACCTGCGGAGCACAAATCGGCAATCAACCCAGTTAAGGTGAACTGCAGTTGAAATTATAGTGCTTAAGCAACCACGATGATGCTGAGATATAAACAGAACTCGCTCCCGTTCCTGTTCACGGATGGCTGCTGATAGCATCGCTGTGATAATAAAGTGCCTAAGAGAAGGGTAGAGCAAGGGTGTGTGTGATACATGCAGCGAATAACAAGTGAGAACCTGGCAACGGCAATCGTAGGTTCGAAGCTTACCGAAGGTCCAAATTTTGCTCATAACTCAGCATCATTGTGGTTGTATGTCACATTTCAGGATAGGTCGAAAACTGTTTTAGGAGCTCTTTCAAAAAACCACGAAAACAGAGGAGTTCTCTATGAAATTTGTCACTGAAATGTTATTAACATAAAAGAACGAATTCAAGCGCTCATTTCAGACCTTCAACCCATAGAACCTCTATTTATCTCTTTTCCTTTAAACGTCTTGAATTGAGCGACAAATCGTTCATAACAACACTATTCCTTGTCAGGTTCTTGGACATGTTAAAAGGAGAAGTTGTCCGTCCCATGTTTGGTCAAACCAGTGAGAAATGTGAACGAGCAGATGCTGGATGAAGAGATCATTTTCACGATTGTAGTAGGATTTCCACTTCAGGCTATGCATCATGGCGTATGGCCAGTCATCTTTACAACCACAGGTGCTACCTAGTGTTTGCTTCACTGACTGGGCAACGCACAACACACTGTTTACAAATCAGAAGCATTAACGTAGAACTCTATGTCGCGTCAGCAGTCGAACTAATACCGTCCCGTATATCGAGTTTTTCAAAAATTCTAAAAATTTTGCGGATTTGATGTCTCTGACACTCGAATTTTTTCGTGGAAATATTTCCTTTTGCATTTGTAAAAAATCCCATGGCAACTAAAAGTTTCATAAGTACTGTTTACTATTCTAATGCGATCAATATAAGCAGAGTGATGTAGGATCACGTCACAAAAAATGGTTCACTGTTTCGTACGAACTTCTGTAAAATGTGAAAAAACTCGGCTGCCTTCTTTTCAATGCAAAGGTAGATTTCAGCAAAATGACGTTTCCCATCAGGATTCTCATGTGATTAATTACTGGAAGAAATCATCAATAACAACCTACCGTGTGCATATAAGGCCATTCGGACATAGTAACCACGGTATGTTCGACGGCCGATAAGAAGGTTACGACTCCGGCCACCGACACTGCCTTCCAGTCTGTTTTCTTTTCCATTTCTGCAAAAACCCACAATCAATGCACTAGAAAATTATTAGAAATCATCAAGAGGATAATTCCAAAGTCATGACCATCCAATGCGTCTTTCTGCTCTCTCTGACCTTCGTAATGACTTAGCACACCTCAAAATATGCTCTGAATTTTGAGCTGCTTGAAACAACTACTACGACGTGCTCCATGTGCATCGAAAAAGTCGTCCAATACGGTGTTTTTGGCAAACTATTAAACTAAGCTGTTCCCTGACCAGGTCTGATAAACTTCATGTCTGTTTTAACTTATTATTTACTCCCTATTCTTTTTAACGGCACGGTATGTTGCGAAATATAATTTCTATGATGCTGAGATATTTGCAAAACTCCGGACTGCAGGGTTCTTCCGGGAACTAACGCGTTCATCACCACATCATGCGGGTCCTTCCTAGAATAGACAGTAAATAATAAGTCAAAATTGTGATTATAACTGCATCTTCAGCTAAACTGGGTTCGTTGCAGATTCAGGCTCTCCGGAGCAATCTGATAGGTGATTGGTTATGACAAAATGATGGTGTGGTAGTGAACGCGTTACTCACCGTAAAGGACAATAGGGCGTTCGTTCCCCACCGCAGACACCTGCGGTCCGGAGTTTTGCAAATATCTCAGCACCATTGAAACTTCATGTTTGTGCTTAGTAAGCTATCGGTTGAATACAAAAAAGTAGGAAATCAATTCTGCTTGCCAATCAGAAGAAACGCGAAGTGGAATTAATGCGTATGGTCCACACCCACCTGCTTATGTGATATAATCAAGGTATACGGTCATTTTTAAACCTTTACTCTATTTTATCATCACAGAGCTCTTCGGTTTTCGCGCATTGATTCGGTTGCTGTTTGACGTTTACTGTCTTCTTCAAGAATTTCTTTGTATGCCGGTCGAGTCAACTCCCTATTGAGTAGTAGGATAACCGGAAAAGAACGTTTAAACTTAGATTGCATTGAGGGAACTTTTCTCAGACAAGTCTGGAACTAACCCGGTCTCGGAGGAATGAGATGCTTAGTGAGCCGGGGCCCAATGGAACTAGGATGGTGTTCGTGTTGAACGGCATCATTAACCACCGCGCTGCCGGCACCCTACTTTTAATCATGGTTAATATTGATGAGCTTCACGTTTTCGTTCTGCAGGCACACATTGGCAGAACCTTTAGGTAAACTTCACGGCTAGAAACCCTTTCTCTTCAGAGTGTCTAAAGCGATTAAAATGGTTCCGAGTATGGTTAAGCCAAAGAAGAAGATCGCAAGTTGTAATAGAGATCTATAAAGTCAAACATTTTTCAAGAATGTCTCTCAAGCATTACTCCATTCGTGCTCAAACTACGTGATAGCTTCATGACACTACGGATATAACTATTGCGAAGAGAAATTTGAGAAAAATAGAACAAAATTTGGCCTTCATTCACCATAATTTCATACAAAATGAACCACAAATAACATACGGGTGTTATGAAAAAACTATTGAATTCTCTCTGTTTGCATGAAACAAAACTCGTCACTAAACTTTTTAGGTGTCCACCGGAAAATTCGTATTACTCATAAAAATATTGGCATGATAAAGTTAAAGGGTAGTTAACCAAATCATCTAAGGGTAATTGGTATAACAATTAGTTAAAAGTCCAATTTGAAAGTGCAAAATTTCTAATAGTAAAGGAATTTACCGGCCGACGAAGGATAGGTTCTGGCAGATTCATTTACTGAAAATGAATAAGGATTGACGCCATTGAGTTCCTTCTTTTTAACATTTTTCGCTTTCTGTAATTCCATCGTCTTCTCTAAAATGGCAGTCACTGTTACACGGCATAAGAAGATTATGAATCTGTTAGTTTATCGGGTCCACGGAGTACCACGAAACGTTGATCTAGAAAAAAATCGGCTTTACTGCGTTAAAGAGCATGGTTGGAATTAAGGACAAGAATAAATAAGTATGGATTTTTTAACACCAGAGGGATACGCCAAAAATTTGAGTGCAGGTAGGGAAACTATAGAAGTGATTGAATATATAGTGATTGAATATATCTAGCCTGTACAATAACTTGCTCGGGCCTACTTGGTTAAGTCATGATGTCTATCCTTCCAAACAAGTCTGCTAACAATTTCCCGACACCGAAGAGAGGTAACTTTCCGTTTAACTAGGCATGGGAATGAATCATAACTTGTATACGTTACAGAGCATTTCTAATCGCTGCGCTACACCTATCCACATTTATCGGATGCTGTTGTATACTAAGAGCTAAGCGCTGAAGAAGACAGCTGATTCAATGCCGTGCCCAACCGGGCTAGGCTAGTTGATACCAGACTTGTCTGGGAGGATAAAAAAGTAACTTGGCTAATCGATAGGCTCCCACAACTCATTGGAGAGAACAGAAATGACGAATATGATTCAATCACCGCTACTCTCTACGATGATTGATGAATTAAAATGTGCAGCACGTCCCTCAAAAACTTATTAACGCCAAAGCGTTATCGTTTTATACCTTTCCGAAGGAATACGTGTGCATTACGCTTGTTGCAACTATCCGTTCACTCTGCATACCAGCCGTCAGGTTGGAAAATCTCTATTTTCTTGAGAAATCCCCATCCGACAGAAATAATGCTTCCGAAAAAGCTTGAAAGCGAACAAATTAATTTACATTCACCGCCAATGCGAGGTGTAATCAATGAATTGCCGTTTCAGCATAAAAGGAGCAAACTATGGCGGCGTTACGGCGACCTTAACACACTAACGTCAAGTAGCGAGGAGAAAAAAAGAGCTCTCTAGCTGGCAGTTATTGTTCGATACTGAAAAGAGTGCGAGACATCTGTGGCTGCTTTTCAATCTTTTTCACTTTTGCAGTACCGAAAGGAACAGAGCACAGAACGGCGGCTGCGGCGGGAGCGGTTAGTGCGATATCCAGAAAAAAATTGAATTTCTGCTAGGATATAAACGTGTTACTGAAAAGGAAGAGTGCATTGCTATATCAAAAACAAAAAGAAGATAAAATATTTTTCAAGTTAATACACAACATCTGCAACTAATTTTGCAATAAATGATGGTAAGCCATTGATCATAAGATTACTTCAGCAGTTGACAACTTCACAAAATTTTAGAAGAAATATTGTTTTAGGCATATAATATAACGTAAGGAGGCAGCCGCACATACCATGGATACATTGGGGAGTTTCGCCAGGCCCTGCTGGAGTAAACTCTGTCCGCTTTTAGCATTCGTGTTCAAAACATAATCCGCGACGCAGAAGAGGTGAGAAAATACGTTTCTTGTGCTGCCATCTCGGTGCAATGAGAAGCTTGTATGCGGTTGGCAGGAGTTTCTAGATTGCATTGGTCTTCAGAAGAACTAACGATTTTCAATGTAAGCCATTTTGGCTGACATTAGAGGGCGACTATCATTTTCGCAACGAACGCTTTTATCAAACTTATGTGTTAAAATACAATCGACTAAGAACATGAGCAGTCGGTTTTCCGCAAACTCGCGCCATAAGGGCAAGCCTTCATCAAATTCTCACAGTAGTAATGCAATGTAGAGATACTCTAAGGTTTCTACTCCACTTCAGACGGCAAAGGACTGAAAATGAAATGCTCGTGTCAGCAATGGAAAGCGACAGCTCTCGCAGTGCATTACTAGTTTTGCTATAGCAAAAAAAACATCACGACATGATTAAATGGTTCAGTGTTAACGGTGGACCTGATGAATGTCTAGAATAGCTGTGATAGATAATATGATACGATCGGAAAAGATGCCTAAATGATTTCAACAACGATGGGCGGAGTTCTCTGATAACAAAAAGGGAAGCATCAAATGAATGGATCTGTTCTTGAAATGTGTTAATGCCGAAATTCATAACGCACTGTGCCATATAAAGATCATACGTAGAGATTATCACTGAATTTATCATCGGACCGTTGATTATATCTAGTGGTCGAAGCACTCAAAATGTTAACTGGATAATATGAGGTATCTGCGGGTGTATTGGTCTTAAAGTACAAACCGAAAACTCAACACAAAAATAGCAATTTAGACCTCCGGAGTATGAAACAGCCACAGAAACGTTGGGTAAGAAAATTTGGGAAGGTGAATATCGGCGAATGTGAGACACACACGACCGGTTACATCCAGGTGATGATTCTCAAGTGGAAATCACATGAACCTTTCGAGCGTTCTAAATCAAAGACAGAAGAAACGCCTATCACAACCAATGAGTAATGATCAAACGGATTGAAAAACTCGTCGACGCAATGAGTAGTTGAGCTTAAGCAAGAACGGACCTCTGAGAACTAGCTGAGAGACAGGCGAAACGAAGGACCCGCATGGTGTGGTGGTGAACGCGTTACCCCCCGGAAAGGACGATAGCGCGTTCGTTTCCCTCCGTAGACACCTGCGGTCCAGAGTTTTACAAATATCTCAGCACCGTTGTAGACCTCTGAGATTTGTAAAAGTACTGAAGAGCTAGAAAATTGAACAGCAAAAGATTTAATAACAGAATTTTTCTGGAAGTTTATTGTTCAATAGATGACATCAAAGTGTTGCCAAGTATCTCAGCGATGTTTCCACTAACCGTGTTTTATTGACGGATGCATTAATCTAGGTCTTTAAAGGTTTCGATAATATTTTTATGGTAGATATTCTATATGGCATTTCTCCTTCCTCACTTCCTCACTATATCCTTCATGTCTGCGAAGGTTTTCTAAAGCAGTCCCTTTCTCAGTTTGGTTTTGAACCATTCACCACAATGATGTCCTAGATTTCTGAAGCATCCAAAGATTTTTAGTGTGAGTTAAAAAAAGTGAATGGGATGTTAGAAACAATTTTGCTCTTCATGAATATCGTCTTCTTATCGGTAAAGTCGACGAACAATCTTTCCACAAGCGTTCTCGAAGTCGTGTAGGGTCGTTTAGCCGGTCTTAGTGTTGTAAGAGCGATATCAACAGCAAATCCAACACTGTGTATTTACCGATCAACGATTTCCAGTACCCTGTTGTCTTATTCAATCCTTGCACGGCGTTCTCGAGGGAGGCTGTAAATAATTTCGGAGAGATGACAAGGATACGTCGAAACTCACAATGATGTTTATGATCGCTATAGAATGATGGTGACTGATTGTAAAGCTGTTATATACCTCATTAAGGATTATTGTTTACCAACTAGCAACGCATTACCACCTGTTCAGAGCTTCCATAACGTTTTCTGTCTTAAATTAATTGAAGCATTCTTTCCAGGTCGATGAAAGTGGAACAAGTTAGCATTCTAAACAGTCTTGGCATTTGGATAAAGCGAGTAATCGCGTGGATGTCGTTTATGGTTTTAAATCTTTTTGAAAATCCTGCTTGCATCCACGGTCGTCCTTCGCCTAATGTTTTGTCAATACTGCTGAGGGCTTTACCTGAGTGAAGGCTTTATAGATGACAGACATCAAGCAGACTGGGAGATAGTTGACAATATCATAGAGCTTATTGCACTTGAACAATAACACGGTTTTGCTGGTCTTTCATTAAAAGAGAACCTTGCATTCTAACAACCAACATGTGAAAGTTACTCTCTCGACATCTCAACAGTTTACCCCTTCATCGAGGCTGGGAGGTGTTCCTGGGTGTCGGACTGCGATGTACAGCGGGGATTCATCCCCAGGC